ACACAGGTGTGTAACTTAGATAGTATTTTATGGCAGCGGCTTGAGGAGCGAATCCTGGATAAATAGCCGCCGTATGTTAAATCAATGGGCGCAGTTGTACGGCCATAAAACGAGAACAGATGGTATAATCGCATTTTGAGAGATTATCCTGCCACACACAATATTCTACCAGACTTATTTCAGACAAACCAGGAATCAATTTTGACAAACAACTTCTCGAAAATCGGACGATCAACAACAGAAGGATTTTCGAACATTATATATTATTTTTGAAGAATCAGTGAAAATTCATCAATTTTTCTGAATTTTTACTTAAATTTGACATTTCGAACATAAATTATAATGTTCAAAAAACTCTCTGGTAAAATTAACAGGTTGCTTAGATTTTTTTTTTATCTAGTTCGTTTATTTGGAAGGCTCAATCGCGTTAGCTTTACGGAGCCGATAATTCATTGTTCACTGTGTGTAACAAAATTCACTTAATTCTATGTCTAGTAGGAGTTGGGCCGATTACTCGCGGCTTACTCGAGGTTAGAAGGGTACATTTTCGAAGGATAGGATCAGGGGAGGAGCTTGGGGTAGGGTTTCGTTGTCTCATCAGAGCGTTGTCGCCAGTATGAACGGTAGTGCTGTTCTAGCTTCGTCCGGAGTTCGACCGGCTATGGTGGGTGACCAGTGGGCGACGATGAGACTCATCAGGACGGGGGGAAAGAACAAACAAAAACTAATAAAGAGAGACAAAAGACAAAAGAAATTAAATTCTTATACTAGACATTTGAAGAAAAACATAAACGGACTGCATATAGCAGAGATCACGGGTTGCCAACACGTCTCTGATAGGAACATAGGGTTGTCTTCCTTGGGCCTCGAGGGTATTCAAAAGTCGCTCTCTGGCGGCGTCATTATCCGTACATTGCCAAACTGCGTGTTCGATGTCATCGTAACCGTTTCCACACCGGCAGATGTTGCTGTCCACGAGGTTTATTCTATTGAGATGAGCATCTAGCGAGTAGTGGTTGGACATAAGTCTACTCATCACGCGAATGAAGTCACGACTTAAGCCCAAGCCTTTAAACCACGCTCTCGAAGAAAGGTTGCTTAGATGTTCCATGTTGGTTTCAATCAGCGATGACATGCATCCTGATTTTTGTACATGATAAAAGTTGGGATGGTTTTAACGCTGTAAAGCTGTAGTTTTCATGCAAATCAACTAGACTAAATCATTTCTAAGTGTCAAACATGAATTGTAAAGACTAGTTTGATGCATTTTTCAGAAGTATAACGAGAAGATGAATTGAATTGATAACGACCGCAAGTTACGAACAATCATGAATTTTGTGATAGCGCAAATATTATTAAAAGGTTTGATAAAAACTCATTACCCTCCTTTAATGTTAAGAAAAGGAATCATTGTCCTCCTTAATCTCCAAACCTCAAATAAAATGTCCTCCTTTTCAAGTTTTTGATATGGTAAGCGTACTCAAAAGCCGAACCGGTGCATTTTGATGGACGACGAGACGTACGTTAAATTGGATATGTAACCCTCGTCCAGGGTGACAATTATAAACCACCCTTTTGCCGTGTTTGCCATGAGCGTGTGTCTTGTCTGTTATAATTTGTTTTTGTTTTGGTCACACGCTCGGCAACATACTCACCACTACCTGATATGTAAATATTTTAATTTGTTATTTTCTTTGTAGATTTTATTCGGTTTTTTATGTTGTTAGTTTAGCTAGATAGGAAAAAAATTATCGTTTATTAATGTATCGCGTCTCAAATAAAGTTAGGTCCTGATTCTCCTCCCGCTGCAAAAGAAGGCGAATCCCATAAACAACATAAAAAGTCGAGCGCGGTTGCAGGAGAACGATGGCGGTTTTTGTTTTGTTTTGTGACGTTGTGAAAACAGAGGAGAACAGTTCGAGCCACGGTGGAGTCTACGCGGGTTTTTCGTTCGGAGACGTTTTTTTTTCTTAGTCCCGAGAAAACGGACTTTACCTGGGAAAAGTTTGCCCAGCCGCGACGCGAGTGCCAGTACGCATCTTCCCAGTGCACCGCGAGTGGAAGCCGGCCCCGTGGCTGCGAAAATTAGTGTTGTTGAGTGCAACAGAGTGTCGGATCGCCATTGTGGGAAGCTAACCACAAAGGATCCGGTAGACACTCGCCGTCCTGACTGCGGTGGCTCAGCCAATAGAGCCAGTCTCGCCACCGCAGTTAATCGTCAAGCAGGACGAAGCAGGCGATACCAGAGGTGAGTTCGCCTGGGCAGAAACACTGCGGTGTCTGCCGGGGTTGCCTACGGCGAGTAGGCAATCCGGTGATTTGTCACCAACGTCGCCGGGGGGGTTCCAACAGACGAGCCCAGCTCATCCCCCCCGCTAAGTGTCAAGGACAGCTGCTAAGCAGCCGAATAAGCAAACCGCTCAGCACAGTCCGTGCTTTGTAGCAGCAGAACCGCCGCCATACCGTCGTCGAAGGGCCCCACCGAAGAGCAGCAGCAGCAACAGCGAGGAGGAGAGGGCAGAGATAAGTAGCGAATAGACGTCTAAAATTGCATTTCTTTTTGTTGTTTTGTCCCACCCAAATCCGAACGTCTTTGGGGGAAGTACCCTTGCTCGAGGCCGCCCCACCGGGGTAAAATCGGGCCAGCTATAGGCTGGCAAGTAAGCCGTAGCTTACAGATACCAGTACACTTCCCGGGCCGCAATTTTTGGCACAGATGTGCCTGATGATGTGCGATACATCCGAACCAAAAAAAATTGAAAAAAAAGAGTTGGTTGGAAATGCTAACATGAAGCTTTAGTGTGATGATTTATTAGCTAGAGAATGATCTTTAGAAGAATGTAGGTGGATAGTTCCGTTAGAGTACGGCAGTATGAAAATTGAATAGAAGTTGAAAATGAGCGAAGGGCCATTAAAGCGACAGTTTTCAAGATGACGCACATTTTTGCCTAGCCCGTACGATGTACGCGGGGACTTGAAGTATGTCTCCAAGTCCACAGGCAAAAATGTGCGTCCCTCTTGTTGCTCATAAACTGACTGCGGCTGTGGAATAGTTCTAGCGACGTTTTCATCACTACCTAAAGCCCCACGTCGCGAGAGCATTTCCAGTCGATGGTGTGTTATAATGCAGTTCTTCTTTACCCAACTATTGTGTTGCTCCTCTCGTCATGACCAACGTGATCATCTCAGAGAGAAAGCAGTAGGGTGGTTGTTGCGTGCTGTACCATCATCAGCATTGTTGACGGCTACTCCCGCCTTGAGTTGTTACATTCAAAGTGTTTTTTATGTTACTTCATACGCGAAGTTAACGATTTTCAGAGTTGGTTGGAAATGCTAACATGAAGCTTTAGTGTGATGATTTATTAGCTAGAGAATGATCTTTAGAAGAATGTAGGTGGATAGTTCCGTTAGAGTACGGCAGTATGAAAATTGAATAGAAGTTGAAAATGAGCGAAGGGCCATTAAAGCGACAGTTTTCAACGCCCTTCGCTCATTTTCAACTTCTATTCAATTTTCATACTGCCGTACTCTAACGGAACTATCCACCTACATTCTTCTAAAGATCATTCTCTAGCTAATAAATCATCACACTAAAGCTTCATGTTAGCATTTCCAACCAACTCTGAAAATCGTTAACTTCGCGTATGAAGTAACATAAAAAATAAAAAAAACACTTTGAATGAAAAAAAAGGTTTTGGTGTGGCAAGCCATTTGCTCCTGTGGCTTGAAGAGTTCTTCGTATTTCACAACGGGCACAATCAATGGTGAAAATTACAGAAAAGAATGCATCAAAAAACGGCTTCTACCCATCTACCAAAAGCATACGGATCCTCCATTGTTTTGGCCGAATCTGGCTATCTGCTACGTTGGAGATGCTCAAGAAGAAAAAGGTCGTAAAATTCAAAAATCCCCCAAACTGCCCTGAAACGGCATCTTTATAAAGATGGAAGAGAAGCAAGCTCTGTTGACTGTTTCTAGAAAATGTGGTCTGCAGCACAACGAAAAGTTAAGAAGAAAGTTGTGCAGAATCTAAATGGCGGTATTAAGAGAAAAGTCCGAGCGTGCTTCAAAAATGAGAAGTAAACATTCAAACTCACATGAAAGCGGTCATATGTATGTTGATTTTCATTTATATACAGTAAACTTATGAATTTGTTCGAAAATAAATATTTTCCTTTGAGAAACAGGTGTCTACTTTCATTAATGAACAGTCCTTACCACTTCGATCGAGCTATGTCATAGATCAGTGCACGGTCTCTAACCTCACTTTTTGCTCCCTATCATTTTGCTTCTGAGTAAAAGAGATAGCAACGAATGGGAGCCAAAACAAACCACCCAAAACTGTCAAAACTTACGGGTGAGAGAAGAGTGCGGCAAATCTTCGTGAACTGATCAATAGAGCGAGTTTGTCATGGTAGTCGTAGCAACCATTTTGTCTGTATAGTTGCTTTATGTGTTTGGATTCGCTGGTTGTGAAACATCCGTATTATGATGTAAACAAACGGTTTGGTTGACGTTTCCCCTCGAACTCGCCTGGCGTAGAGGTGGTGCATTGAAAAAGCCTATGACATATGAGACATAGTTGTAGAATAAATAATTGCTTGTCAGGAAAAATATACATGGTAAAAATGTCATGTTACTTTGGGTAAAAAAGTGTTTCAAAATTACCCTTTTAAATATGTTTTAATATTTTTCAATAGTTCACTACAACTTTGTTTCAGCCGTCATTTTGATTCATAGTGATGTTTTCGAGTTATGATTAGTTGAATGTGGATGTTTTTGCGATATTTAAAATAATCGAATTTTAGCTCAAATGGGATCGACCATAACAAACAATTATGCAAAGTTTCATGCAAATCGGAGAAGGTCGCCTCAGATCGATTCGTCATTTGGCGTGGAATTGCTCAAGTGCGATATTGTTGGCTATGGCCATGTTTATATTCCGATTAATTTCGGTTGAAACTCCCCACTAATCTTTCTTATCTATCTTATTCTTGTAGAACATTTGGCGCCAAGTGTGCCCGCTGTAGCCGAAGTATCGCCGCTTCGGATTGGGTCCGCCGTGCTCGGGAGCTCACGTTCCATCTTGCCTGCTTTGCCTGTGATAGTTGTGGACGACAGTTGTCCACCGGGGAACAGTTTGCCCTGGCCGACGAGAAGGTCCTCTGTAAGACACACTACTCGGAGATTTTCGACTGTGGAACGTCCAGTGATGGTTAGTGTGGTGGTGGTCTGCTCCTAGCTATACCTGATTTGAAATAACGTGTGGAATTAACTTTTTTAGATGGGTGCGAAGCTGACGGATTCCAGAAGAACAGCAAGTCCAAACGAGTGCGGACAACCTTCACCGAGGAGCAGTTGCAGATCCTGCAGGCAAACTTCAACATCGACAGCAATCCGGACGGACAGGATCTCGAACGGATAGCATCGGTTACCGGTCTGAGCAAGCGGGTCACTCAGGTGTGGTTTCAAAACTCTCGTGCTCGCCAGAAAAAGCATATTCAAGGTGGGAACAGATGGTTTCTCCTATTAACGATGCACTTAATTCACCATTTCAAAACAGTTCCTAGGGATGGCGATGTGAACCCATTCGCCAGGCACATTAATCTCCAGCTGTCGTACACTTTTCAACAATCCAACGTGATGCACAGTCCGATACACATGGGCGGAATGGCAAATGTTGGTCATACCGGTAGTTTAAATAGCAACAATAATCATAGTACCAACAACAGCATGGGTGTTAGTTTCAACAACAATAACAACAATACTATCAGCTCATCAAAGTCATCACCGTACAGTAGGCATGGTAGGTAAATGGTATTGTTTGAATAAAAGAACATCCAATAAAATGATAACAAAATTAATCTTGCAGAATCGTCCCTGGATGAGTTATCTGAGGATTCAGCTATTCATTGCATGCAGAATGAAATATAGGATGAAGGAAGTGTGTCGATTTTTTAAGGATATTATTTATTTGTTTTGTAAATATATGTATAGTCGATTGCAACAATCAAAAATCAAATTCACTAAAAGTAAACATATATTTAGCGAAATGTTATTTAACTTATTCAATTCACATTCATATTTTAAGATTCGATGTATTTGTCGTGTAATTATAAGAATTTGTATTTATAAAACCGTATCAGTGGAGTTATCCGTTGAACCGTTGGAAATGATAGCAAATAAAATTTGCATCAATGTTGACACAATCGAAACATTGGGGATATGTTAAATATATTCCATTAATTAAAAAAAAAACAGTATAATTAATGAACTTGTGTAATCATCCGATTGTTTAAAAAAAAGTAAAGACAGTCAAACTTTGAGTTCTACTCTATTGAAGCCGCCTTGAACCGGAACGAATCTCTCTCTCTTTTTCTCTTTGGCAACGTAGGGTAAATGTGCCTTCTATGGACCCTTTCCACAGAACAACCCCTTTTCCAACTAAACTTCATCGACAAAATTGTCAAATGCAATTTAAAACAAGGAATAAAATACATTTTAACGTAAAGTATACCAGGAGGTATCAAATAAACATAGGGTTGATTAAATTTGAATGAAATGGGGAAGTTTTGCCTGTCTTGGATTGAATAAAATGTAATTCAACCCCATCTATTGATTCTACTTTGAAAAATTATGTTTAATGAGAATTTATCCTAAACGGTCCATTATAGGATGTAAACAATTCTGTAATGGACTTAAGGTTCAATTTACTTTGATACGTTTTCGAAAAATTCAAATGTGGTTTTTTTCGATGCATCACTCGCGTCTTTTTGTGTATAATAGCAAAAAGAATAGAATGACGCGAGCTTTTTGTAATTTGTAATTTTTGCGTCGAAAAAAAAATGCATCAAAGTAAATTGAACCTTAAGCTTATAATGAGTAAAATTATAATGAGTAAAATCATTGACAAATTTAATGTATAAACTTGCACCTTATTGAAAAACATTGCTGGAACAATAACTGAAAGGTTATGAATTTAGTGTAAAAGGCAAAAACAGGTACTAGGGGGTCCATCGTCGACCATTTCACCCTAATCTCATTCCTTATCGATGCCGGCCACTCGTACCTACACTCTCATAAATCACATCGCATCGCATCATCTAAACGTATTTTACTTTACAGTTCCGGACAGGCGGACCGAAAGTGCTTCGCTAGTCAGAGTGTAATCAGCGTGACGTTTGCCAGCGTAAACAAAAGTCGCTCTCGGTGCGTGTGCTATTTTCGGGAAAGTCGCTAGACTTGTGAAAACTAAGTGAAAAGTTTGCGTAAAATTCAAATCACGTAAGCAGAAATACTCGTGAAACCATGAACAAGCGTACAGAGATACCGAAGCGCCACCTGTTCGATGGTAGTGATTTCAATGTCTACGATCAGCAGCTCGCCAATTTGTCTGCCGGTGCACCAGGGCCGGATTTGTTGAGCGAGTGCAGCGAGATCTTTCGCATTGCTACCGAGCATAGGATGGTAAGTTGATATGAACGGATTGGTAAAAGACCCGTACACAATAGGGTGACTGGTCACTATTTGAGGCGAGGGGGATGACTAAATCTACTATGCAGGAAAGATTTTGTATTGGTGTGGTTCGCTGAGTAGATAGACAGAAGATTGATGACGATTCTGGAGATTTCCTGCAATAAGATGATGAACGATGAAAGTAGATGCGAGAAATGGAAGAAGATTTTTCGAGCATCTAGAATTAAGATTAAGATGTGAGGCCCCCTCGATTTGAGGATGATTTTCAAATGAATGATTTTTCAATGCCTGGGGAAGCCAATAGGTTTTGAAGTAGGTAGCTAAAACCAGATGTGATGTGAAAGATAACGCATCCCTAATACAATTTGTATGGTTATTTTACTTAACGGCGTGTTCAGCATACCATCTAAACCATTTGTGGAATAGTTCTATCATTTGGGTTATCGTTCGGGTATGGTATTTGTATATTAGGGATTGCAAGAAATAATATATATTTATAAGCTAGGTCTGGCGAATGTGTAATGATTTTTGAACCAATTCGAACTGTCAAAATCGAACCTGTTTTTCCCGTTTTTACAGTTATTTTAAGAAGGAAACAGATAGAAAGTTTTAAAATCTGAGTGAAAAGTCCACCGTATTTTTTTCGGAAATAAATAACTTCATGGTTGTGCGGCAAATAAGTATTGCTGGGTTCTCTTGTTATTATTTAGTTGCCATCAATTATCTAATTAATTCTTGATAGAGCTGGAATTAGGGCGTAACAGCTTTTGTAAACAATGACTTCTCTCGAAGATTTCTCGAAACTCAAGGCACGCCCACGCAAACCAACCTAACCAACGGGAAGAGGAAGTCTTCCCCTACCCGGTGGGGACATTGCATTGAGTGAGCGAGTCTTAGCTTTCTAGATACCATCGAGAGAAGTCATTTTTACAAAAGCTGTTACGCCCTAATTCCAGCTCTATCTAGAATTGATCAGTTTAGATGAAATATCATAGCTAACAGGCAAATCGATTGGAACTTTGAAAAGTATCGAGAACCCTAGTATTCTGAACATTTACTTTTTCATTTTTCATGGATATAATAATAATCACTTGAATAATCACTTCTCATACTAACATGCTTCATATGAATCACTTCATGCTTTGTATGTATGTAGGTACGTACGGTGAATTTCTATCGATACTTAGGACGTGTGGATTAGTATTTCACTGTATAAATCATAATGCCAATTCCGTTTTTTGAACATAATAATACAGATTCTACCTATCTCGATATCGACGGCAGAACCGAGTTGAAAGAATAATGTTGTTTTTGGTACAGGAAGCTAAATTACTAACATGCGCCGGGAAAGTGCTATTATATCTGATCTTTTCAACTACGGTTCAACATCATTGTTTATCAACTTGGACGTATATTTTTTAGTAAATAATAGGTTTGTTCCCGCACATGCTTTAACGCTTCCGCTATATGTTGCAGTAAAATAAGAATCTGGTAAATCCTAATAAAGTAAGTTAAAAATATGCATTTTGCACATTTTGGACTTATTAATCTGGGTTTTCCCATGCTATTTTACAGTATCTTACAGCAACAGCAGAAAAAAGGTACGGGAACAGATCTTATGTTTACCCGAGTTCAAGCTGTCGAATATTTGATTTATCACTAATTATAATTGTTAAGTCAAATATATTCAATCTAGTCATAAGTTCATTTGCACAGCTAATTTTTTTTGCAAGTTATTCTAGGAACTCTAAAGATAATCGTGGATGTTGTCCCGACTGTAAACTATTACAAACTTTTTTTGTATTAAACATTTAAGCTGAAACAAAACTTTTTTTTTTCGTTGGTTGTAATATGCAATTCCATTTCAAAGCTTAAGATTTAAGCTTTCAGCTACATCTTATTCCTAAGCACTAGGTTGTTTCAGTTTAGAGAAATTAAGTTTCAAATATATGACTACTTTTCACAAAAATGGCGGGTGACCAACTCTATTACCTGCATCGCAGTAAAAGAGTTGGTTTTGAGAATTCTTTTTGTGGAATTTTATGCATCCAATAGTCATCTTTCGATAGCAGATTACAGAATCCGAATCGAGAGAAGTCGGTCTTCTTCTTATTGGCCACCTGAATCCCCATAGTGCGGTGGTGTAGTGGTAAGCGTGGATACCTCTCACCCCAGCAGGACTGGGTTCAATCTCAGTAGGCATGTTCTGAAGCATAACATCTTTTATAGCGCCTTCCTTCTGAAGAAAAGTAAAACCGTTGGTCCCCGGATCATGAATTGATGGATCGATAGGTAGGGTCCAGGCACAAACGAAGTGACAGACGACTAACTGGCGAAGAAATCTATTAAAATAATGTGGTTCACTGTAATAGAATTTTCTTGGAAGCTTGTGCCATCATCCACCAGATGGGTTAGTTTTTTTGTTTTGATTTGAACAAAGTTTATTTTGTGTACAATGATTCTTTGACAGTGTGCAAAGAGTGTATCATTTTGTCATTTTTTTATGCATTTCAGTTTTGAGTAGAGTGAAAGAGATAGAACCAAAACATTCTAGTACGTTTGGTGAAAATGCTAGTTCAATCCAGTAGTAGTGTTACCATGTGGTACAATCCAGTAGTAGTGGTGTTGCCATGTGGTACACTGAAAAATTGAAATAGCAGGTTAGTCACCAAAGTTTTCGAGCCGCTCCGTCTGTCACTTCGTTTGTGGTCCAGGTGTGGGAGCTGCCTCCCTGCCGTCGGTAGCATTGGTGCTCAGCACGGAAAACAAGATCGACTGAAAACAAATCTCGCGTCACTTTTCCATAGGTCCTATCTACATTGATCGATTTCTCATCGACTCGCTCTTTCGTAAATAACTCGGCTTCACAAATGTTTCCTGTCGTCTTTGTCGAATTAGATGCTAGATTGTTGCTTCTTCCATCAAACTGTGTGTAGAAAATATCCGGCCGTGGCGATTAAAAGTTGATTCACCCCTGCTTTCAAATTTGGTTACAAGAGCTTTTTGTGCGGTCGTTGGGGGCGTGTGATGCTGAATATCGACCAACAGGCAGATAAATTCTATTCCTACTCTTTACTGTAATAAGCTTGGTGGTCCAGAGAAGGGCCGTTTTGTTGCCAAAGTTGGCGATGATTTAACTTCCGAAACCGTACAGAGTGCGTCTGTCGCTTCAAAGCGTAGACGACACATCCCAAGTAACCAAAAGTTCCGATAAAAGGCTATTTGTGGCTTAAACAGCTTGGTTGGTGTTGGTCTATAGAATTCTAAGCAGCCTCATTTTTAAGTCGTTATAAGAACTTGAAAGTGCCGGTATCATAATTGAAGAGCATTCTAAGCAGCTTCTGGCGGAACTTGAACGGAACTTTAAGAAAATATTAAAAAAAGGTTTTTGTCCTCTACACCAATTCTATATTTAGTTCGCACTTTTATGAAAGTTATTTCTAAAGGCAGGTATTAATGTGTATTCATTTATCAGCATTAGTAGTAAAGAATTGGAGCTGTTTGAAGAATTAAAACCCAGTCCTTCTGCGTGAGAGTTCCAGCACGAACCGCTGCGTCATCTGAGATATAATAAAGTGAGCTGTTGTCTCGCCTACTGTTGGAGTTTTCAGTCCAGCTGACTGACTTGAATACGAAGCACAACACCTTGATGAATTTTAAATTGGTGTTTGCCCGCTTGGTATTCCAACACATTTGTGGCGCAGTGGTTAGCGTTCGTAGATCGCATGTCGAAAACACGGGTTTCGAATCCAGGATGTTGATACACTGCATAAATATAAGAATTATGATTTATTCGGGCCACTGATCATTTCATAATTACGTACATTAAATTTTGTTACTAATAAAGACTTGTGCGGATTGCTTCATGTGGCTTGAAAGTTCTGTCGGAACTTTATTTGAACTTTATGGAATTTGAAAGTTCTGTCGGAACTTTATTTGAACTTTTTGGAACTTGAAAGTTCTGTCGGGACTTTATTCGAACTTTATGGCACTTGAAAGTTCTGTCGGAACTTTATTTGAACTATATGGAACTTGAAAGTTCTGTCGGAACTTTATTCGAACTTTATGGAACTTGAAAGTTCTGTCGGAACTTTATTTGAACTTTATGGAACTTGAAGGTTCGGTCGGAACTTTATTTGAACTTTGCGGAACTTGGAAGTGATTGAAATCGTTGAATGCGGAACTTTTGGATACTTGGGATCCATGGCCGCTTACGCTTGGCGTGTGCAGTGTAGGTGGCAGCATCACGGATCTCATTTTCCAAGAACACCTTCAGCACACCTCGTAGATCAGACCAGAGACACGTTTGACACCGCCATGGCGAGCCAGACGACTGCTTTTGCTGCTTCTGCTGTCTGCTCACCACGGCGTCCGAAGCGAAAATGAGTTGAGGCTTGACTTTACTTTGACTTTAAATGATCTTTATTTCTTGTGTTTGTGTGGTTTACATGTATGAATTTTTCAAGTGACACAGATGCGTCTTTTCAACTTTAGTACATTTGAGATTTTAATTATTATTTACAGTTCCTAGTCCTATCAGGCCTATTTTAAAGTATGACCACCTTGGTGGGATTGGTATGAGTTGAGGCTAGACAGCAGCGTTGTTTTATATCTTTTCAGGTTAAAGCAAAATGATGTGCAACCAAGTGGTACTCGATTATGACGACTGCGTTTGGGAACAACGTTTATTTCATGAAAACAGTGAAAACAATATCACTTTTTATTTGCACTTTGGATAATGCTTGACATTACCACTTTTTCAATAGTTTCTAGCATTGCGTAGACATATTTCTGATCGATTGGCGATAAAATTATTGAAATTGATCCAGGGGCAGCTGAGTTATTAATGTTCAAAATCTTTCATAATTTTGTTTCATGTTCCATCTTCAGTTTTCACAAAGTGTACCCCAGTAGAAATTAAAGACGTAGTCCTACGTCAAAAATGAATATGTGGTGTAAGATTCGGCTTACCTGCCAGCCTATAGGGCGAC